GCCGGGCAGCGGCCCGCAGCGGCACCTGCTGTAGGGGCCGGGCAGCGCCGGGCTCTGAACGCCATTTGCCAGCGTTTCGGGACCGTTTAGCACACTCTGCCCACCACCCTCTGATGGGATTTCGGCTGGACTGCGAACCCTTCCAGCCATAGTTCTGCCTGCCTGAGCACCTGGCCCGTTAAGCAAAGGGACAAACTTCTGCAGACACCTTCCCCGAGGCTCAGCAGACGGCTGTGCAGCACTCACTGTGTGGAGCCCGCATTCAGGTCAGAGAACAGCTGTAGCTCGAGGAGAGTTTACTTTGCTAGCCAGACCATCTTCAAAGTGTCTTTGCAGTAATAAAAAGGAAACATTTTTCTTTTGCAGTTTTTACTTACTCTACTCATGCTGCAAGAGTGACCTAATAAAAAAAAGTCTGCTAGATATAGCAGTCATTTTATAACAAGTAGTGGAATATAGCAGTAACAGGCTTCAGTCACCTCTGATGGATTTTGGAGCACAACAGAAAGTCTGTTACTGGTTCTCTTTGTTCTTCCAGATAAGTTATTCATAGCCAGGGCTCCCACGGTATGTCCTGAGCCCACTGATGCCAGGCTGCTCCTTGTGATGGTGGCCAGCTCCAGCTATTGTGTTACCACGAGGCCATGGCTGCATTGTTTAATAATTTTGCTTTTGTTTTCCTTTGCAGAACTGTTAAAACCAGCAGATATTCAGGCAAGCAGACCAGGACTGGCAATGCTAAATGTTGCACACTCAAAACCATATGAACAAAGTGTTTGTTTGCCCTCAAACCTAGGGAACTGCCTACAAACACAGGTGATGGATGATGAAGGGTGGGCTGCAGGAACTGGAGGTTGCTGGGAGTGTGAGAAGAGCCAAGAGTGTCTGGCTGATGAGGCTCTTTGCCTCTTTGGTGCTGCAGGGGGTGGCCTCCCTTCTTCCTCATTTCATGCAAGGGCAGGTGGGCTGCTGGGTAAGGATCTGAGAGGGGGACTAAACATGTTCGTGGGCATCCTTCAAAGACAGATTTAATTTTCTTTGAAGATCTGTGCTCTCTTTTCTGTTAAGACATATGGAAATTGAGTGCATTGTGGCCTATGTGGATATTGTGTCATGTGGATGTTGTTTGTTCTGTTGTGACTAAGGATTCAATGCTGTGTAGAAGCCTGTTATGTGGTCTGATAGAGCATCTTCAGCTTGCCACTGTAGACAAGTTTCTGTGATTGCTTTGTGACTAATGCAATTGGAAACATATTTCAAACACAATGATGGGAAGAAAGGGAGGCCTGTATTTCCCTTCAGTGCTCTTCATGTGATCTCTCTGGATCATGTACCCATGCAGTTTTCTGTGGTTCTTTTGCATACACCAAGTGAAGTAAAAGGAGCTTTCTTGACCTAAAAGGAGCTATTCTTTCAAAGAATGAGGTTTTCCAGGTTTGTAATACATGTGTCATTGTGTTTCATAAAGGTAGAGCTTCTGCAAGTGCAGTTCATAAACAGTGTCGTGGGATGTTTTCAGAGCTACTCAAGGTTTGCTCGACTTCCACAGAAATCATGAAACAATATCCTGCTTTACTTCGAGTTCTTATTCCAGCAGAAGAGAGGTTTCTCATGGTCCTATGTCATATCTGCAAGCCCCTTTGTGAAGCTGTGTCAGGCACTGATTTACCAGAGGTGCAATAAAATGCTGCTTCCTACCTTCAAATTCCTAGAGACAGAAAGTGAATTCATAAGCTTTGGTCTGCAGGTGTCAATGCACAATTGTGTCTGTCCAGGTGGGAGAGTTCAGTCCTCTCCATTGGCTGCATTCAGGGTTTTCAAAGACCTCTATTAGCATTTTTCAAGCCTGTACACACTTGAATTGGAACAGTAAGGAAAAATCCACAAAACTCAAGTGAATGGACTGGGGAAAAATCTTGAAAAAGTGAAGTAGAGATCCAGTAACTGTGTGTCTGATCCATTCTTGTTTCTCTATGTTCTAAAAATTCTTGTACCATGTTGAGCAAAGACACTGCTGTGTCCAAACCAGGTGGGATCTGGCAGGTTGGCATCCCAGAGGTGCATGTACCACTCCCCTGTAATGCCTACTGCACTTGAAAGGCAGATTTTGTATTAGCTTTGAGACAAGATGCAAACTCCAATCCAGCCATGAGAACAGCAAGTGTTTGTCCATGGGTATAGTGACTTGCCTCTTTTCCAAATGATCTAGCTCTGGGAAAGGAAAATATAAGGGTCTTATACTAATGTGAGGTCAATGATTTGGGAATTTTTCTGTATGTAGTGGCTCTGCTAATTGAGTTGAGTGGAAAGACCCTCTCTCCTCTGCTCCTCCTGTTCTTTCCAAGCTGAAAAGAAGAAGGTAAGGACACAGCCTACCTGGTGTGTGCAGACAAACAAAAGGGGAGGAGAGCACCCTCCTTTCCTTGTGTCTCCAACAGCCTGGACACCAGCAGTGTGGAGCTCACCTTGTCCTTCTCCCTGGCAAACCAAGCAAACCAAGCTACAATTTCTGAGACACATTCTGCTCACCTAGATTTAAGAAATCCACACAGGAGTAAGTAACACAAAAAGAGTGAAATGGGTCTTAATTTAAGGGCTCTTCAGCTACCACCAGCCCCAGTTTCTAAAGCTAGGAGTTCATCCTTGTTCATTACATGCTTAAAGCAGAGATCAGCTCTTCCTTCCTGTTCATGCAGCTCTGAGAAAACTGGTTGTACTTTATTCAGAGAAGAATAAACAGCAACCACTAACATGGTCAGCTCATTCCTACCATCATCACCGAGACTGATCTGTCAACTCCTTTTGTTGCTTATTTGCTGGCAAAGAAACTCTAACCAAAAGTCTTTTGGGAGTTGCAAAGACAATAGAAGGAAATATTTGCCTGATATCTGATATTACCACAAAGAGCTGGCCAGTGCACATAGAAATATTGGACTTACGATGGAAAATTTAATGGGGAATATTGCAAGAATAGACTCTGCGCTTCGAAAGGCTTATCTGTTCCCTGACATGTACTCCAATTGTCTGTCCTTTCCCAGCACACACCTCCCTCTGGAGGAGGGTACTAGTCACACCATCTCCCCTAGTCATTCCCTGTTTTCAATTCCTAATCCTAATTTCCAGACTTCCAAATTTAGACAGTGCTTCCCATCTGAATAGTTCTGATGTGGAGTCCTTATTTAATTACAAGACACTGACTGTCCAATCCTTCCTGGAGCTCTTTCTTAGGTGCATTTTGGCTCTTCCCTCTTGCACAAGAAACATCCTGCTTCACTCACAAGCTGCCACTGCTCTGTGTAGCTGCTGCTTGTTATCAAGAGGTTTATGAGTGAAACAGAACCTAGTTATAAAAGAAGGGGGAAATGTGGATTCCCTTGAGCTGGGCATGAGGCTTTGGGACTGTCTTAAACCCCTGGAGATTAATTTCTGGTCCTGCAAACAAGCTCTGAATGAAAAACTTTGCCTAGCCAGCTACTCCCACCACAATTAATGTGTAGGAATTCAATATGTGAAGGTTGTATCTCTGGAGGAATTGTAATGGATCACTGCAGGAAACCTAGAAAAAGTGGCATAGTAAGTGGGCATAAATTGGAAAAGTTAGGCTGTTTTCAATGAATTTACTGTGGATTTAGTGACATTTATTTGTCATTTTATAAATATTCAGATTTACTGATTAGCCATCCAAGCAAAGGGGTTTGCAGTGGAAGCAACTGCAGATTGGGGACAATATATGTGAGTACCAGTAGAACTCATGCCACAGCAGCATCAAGCATAGGGTTGTGTAATTTGAAAGTTTTATTTGAAAGTGTCTATTGCACTTAACTTGAATTTGTTTTGCAGTGGAACTCATACAGGAAAGATAGGAATGGCTGGTTTTGAAGTAGAAAGACAAAAGAACAAAGAAGGGAAAAGGCACACACATAGAGGGTGTGCAAGAAGTATTTAAAGACACGTTCAACAACTGGTATTCAGATGTGAAGAAGAAATTCTGCAGTAAGCACAGGTAAGACAAGCTGTTCTATATAAAGAAGAAAAAAAAAACAAAGAAAAAAGGTGGTTGAGAGCTAACAGCACAGTCTCTTTTTCCAGAAGTTTGGAACTCAAGTATAGAAATTTCATACAGGGAGTAGTATAGAAATTTCATATAGGGAAAACCAGGAACATAAAGCTGCCAGTCTCCTCCAGGCCAGAATTGCCACAAAATGGCATTTTGAAACTACATTGATATAAGAAGCTTTCTCAAATACTGGGAAGCAGGAAAGAGATGGTCACAAAGCTAACTTCAACTGTATCCAGTATGCTGTTCCAATATAATGTACTGATCTCAGGGTCCAGAGGTGTCATTACAGAATAATGAAGTGTGGCCTCACTTCTCCTTACTTGAGAACACACATGCAAATTACTGCAGGCTGCATTAACAAGAACATGTGTACCTGAGACTACAGAAAAACGTAACACATGCCAAGCTAGCAGCCAAATGTGGTTCAAGAGTCACAGATGGTAGAGGAAGACTCTGTGTCACATTAAATTATGAAACCTTGTTGTTGTTAAAAGATGAGCAAAACTGGGAAAAGCAAGAAAACTGTTCAAGTTTTGCTGAGTTTTCAGATCTGAGTCTGCTAAATTAATATTTTAAGTAAAATAACACAATTTTATAATATGTTTCCAACTAGTCATTTTACAGCTTTCCACAGATGGTCTGAAGTATGTATGAAAATATAATACAAGTGGAAAATTACTTGCCTTTAGAGCATCCTTATGTGTTCTCTCATATGCACCTCCTGCATGTCCTGCAGCAAATGTTTAAATGTTACAATTTCATGACCACTGGTTGTTTTTAGGTGGTGAAGTGAAGCTGGAGAAGTGGAAGCAAAAGAAACAAAGCAAGAAAGAGTCATGCTTCTAGTAGGAAAACAGAGTGTACAAATGCAAAGGACTTGCAAGGAAAAGTAAAAGAAACAGAGGAGGTGATGTGAGCAGCACTCAGTTCATACAGGAAAGGATAGGGGTTGACTGAGATGCAACTTGTAATTAATGGCACCAGAAACACTGACACAACCAGAGGGATGAGGATAGAGATGGAGGAGTGAAAGGCTGTTAAACTTAATGGTGCAAACACTGGAATAAAGGTATAGATCAAGGTTGTTAGGGTGAGGGTAGTGTTAGCTGTGGTGCTGGTTGGATTCTCCCATTCAGAGAACAAGGAAGAAGAAAGGTATGTAAGGGTGGGACTTAGGGACAAAGGGAAATTATAAGATGCTTACCTTGGAAGTCTTGATAAAGGAGCCTGAAGGACAGCGATGATTTGGAGCTGTGAAGAATTGAGTAAGGCTAAAGGAGGTGGCAGAAGATACAGTTTCTGGGGTATTTGGATAAGTAGAAGCAGAGTAATGCCATTGCCTGTATAAGAGCCAGGGAGAGTACAGGAGAGGAACAAGACCCGGCTCAGACCCAGGAGAAGCTGGCAGTACCCTTGCACAGGGGTAGAAGAAAGAGAAGACCTGTGTGAAACAGTAACCTGAGATGGTAGGCAGGGGGTCTAAAGTGAAGGAAACTGTAGGAGGACTGGGAGAGAGGATGGAGCAAGAAGTGTTAGGAAAGCACAGATGATGTGAGTAGTAGGAAGATAAAGAAGGAAAGGGTAGAGCAGTGCAGCAAAGCTTTGTGTGCATGAGGAATGCAAGAGAAAAGGGGATGGGAGTCAAACAGCAGAGGTAGTGTGAAGGGGGGAAGGATGGAGAGATGGAATTATTCCAAGGTGGGAGGGAAGAAGACAAATGAATAGGCAAATTATAACTAATGCAATAATTAACTGCTACAGCAGTAATCTGATTGTCACCCAAAAAAGAGGATGAGGCAGGGAGTTCGTGAGTGAGGGGGAGGCATGATCAGGCTGGCAGAGAAGCAGGAGTGGGCTGAGCCCAGTGGGGTGCAGAGGCAGCATGGCAGGGAGCAGCAGGAGCAGATGCTGGGGCTGTAGTTCCTATGGCAACATACCAAGGCAAATGCAACAAGTGTGCCAGCGTGGCAGCGCTAGCAGGGGACAGCTCGGTGCCTTTCTGTGTCGCACTCCTCAGGGTGGGAGTGGAGCCATTCCTGGGCACCAGGGCAGCATGGCTCTGCCCCTGCAGAAACCAGCACAAGTACTGGCAGGTTTTGAGGTTGGCCCCCTCACTGCTGCTAAATGGGTGTCTTGTGCTCTCTTTCTCCAATCCTGGGAATCCCAAAGTGCAGCTGAGTGAGAGCTGCTGAGCATCTTGCCACTAGTGAGGCGCCTGTGTGCCACATGGCGAGGGGATAGCTCTGCAGAGAGCAATGGGAAGGTGGGAGAGTGAGCATCACCCCGCCTCATGGGCTGGGGGCTTACATCCCCCATGCCGTGGCTCAGCATGGCCTGGCACATACCTCCAGGCACCTGCAGTGTGTAGGTGCCCTCCAGCAAGGCTGTCATAGTGTGAGCCCAGTCTGCCTAGAGCACGCAGAAAAAGCACATGGCTTTCATAGGCTAGGGCCTTATTTTTCACTTATAAATTTTGGCAGAGTTTTCCCTTCCTTTCCTATAGTATCTCTTGTAATTAATCAGCAGTTTGGGACTGCAGTTACTCCACACCATTGTGCTCATGTCCTACTCTAAACAGCTGGAGACAGACCATAAAGGCAAATTTCCCTATTGCTCTGACACTCGGACAGAGAGAACAGCCCTGCGGGGCGAGCAGCAAGGATGCTACTCCATTTATTTATCCTGCCCCGCCGGAGATCCATCCTGCTCCGGCAGCAGCGCTCGGGCTTTCCGCGGGCTCGCAGCTGCGTCCAACAGCAGAGGGAGCTCCGGGAGAAGAAGAGGAGCAGGAGCAGCTCGGCAGGAGCAGCCCCAGGGAGGAGGGCAGGGGGGCACGGAGGTAACTGCAGGCTGCTCTGCTGCACCAGGTAGGGAGCTTCTAACAGCGTGAATGGACGAGGGGAAAAGGGGTCTGAGAGAGGGAATAGTTGAAAAGCAGCCGCCATGGAAACAAAATGCGAGGAGAACTTTAGGTATAAAAAACCAAGAACGAGACAAGCAAAATATGTGTCTGGGTGCCCTAAGATTTAAGACACAGGCTAACTTCAGGGTATCTTGGGCTAAATAGCTGTAAGGAGGAGGAGAGTATCTTAGTTACTTGGGGAGTGTTTTTTGTATATTTAAATGCTAAAACATCTGGCTGTATTTTTTTTTCCGAGGAGAATGCCCTGTGTTGAACACTGTTGTCATGTCAAATTAATTTCAGTGACATTTTGAGAAACTCTAGTGCCATGGGTTCACACTAGGATCAAAGGAAAGCAGTGAATATGCCTTTGTGACAGTGGAAATGCACCCATTGGTAGTTGATGGCCATTTCTGCCGCACTTGGGATGACAGCAATACCAGCCAGCCACATCACAGCCCCTACAAAGCCAGATCATAGCTATGACTCTCTAGCCACAGGGATCAGAGCAAGGAAATAAATATGTTGGTCTTTCCATCCCTTGTTCTCCGCAGTCCCGGGTGCAGCACAAGAGCGGGCATGATTCATTCTACGGTGTCTGGGCAACCCAAGGGAAAATCGCCTGCTAATTTCAGTTTCTGATGTCAGAACATATAATTAACCTGACAAAGCAAAACATTATTTTAGGTTAAGGCATGATCAGATCTTCCTTCTCCCTTTACCTATTTCTAAATGGTAATAAGTTGAAGGTGTCTGAGGCTGGGGAATATGTTTTGTGGTGGCTATACAGTGTTGGCAGTGAATTTGCTGCTCTTATGCTCTCTAATATATAAAAATATAACCAGTGCCTTCTCCAATTAATTTATATCTGAGTTAAATGCAGAGAAAACAAATTATTTGGATATTAGAGTAACCTTCTTCCCTGTCCTTCCCTGTGTGCAACACTCCTTTGTATCAGTCTTTGGAACAGGAGATTAAGTAGGCTTTAAAGTTAGTGTGCTGAATGCCATGGTGGCTGTGCACAGGAATCACAGGAGTCCTTGGAGTCTTTAAGGTGTGTTTATGTTAAAGTGGACAGAGTGATGCTAGACTGACAGTGGATATCTAATTGTAGAATTGTAGTGACTGGAATACTTTGGTTTACTGTTAATGTATTTAAAAAAGTGTTGGGAAGAGAATTTCAGAGGTGAATTTATATCATGTTGTTGCTATGTTTTCCCTTGGGTAGAATTGATAGAATGGAGCAATTGATTTTGTTTGATCTATGTGTACACACTAGCAGAATGTGCTGCATTTAAGGTAAGAAGATTAATATAGCCCATTTCAAGCAAAATCAACTTCTTTTAGTGCTGTGTTGGCAAGTCTGGGTTCTGTAGGCTTCCAGGCACAAAAAAAAGAAAGCAGCCTTTTTTCAGTTCTTGAGGTGGGAAAAGAGCTCTAAGTACCTCTGGGTCTCTGATTAAGGAGCTCCATTTTAAAATAAAAGTTCTGTATTCTCCTACAGAATGACTAGTGGTTTCTTTGTTCCACGGTAGAATAGGAAGGCAGAGAGAAAATGCAGCATATAAGATATAAATATTACTCCCTTATCCCTTTTTTCCCCCCCTGCTGTTTTTGCCTGGTATTCCTCAAATTTGGTAGTTTTTTGGTGGTTGCAGGTTTTTTGTTGTTTCTGGTTTTTTTGTTTGTTTGTTTGTTTGTGTTTGGGTTGGGTTTTTTTTGGGGGGCGGAGGGTGGTTGTATGTCTGGATTTTTTCCTGATCTAGTTGGGTGAGTCCTTAATCTTTAGCCATTTGAATGACTGGAGATCAGTCATTTGTAGGCTCAGAGCATTTTGGTCCCACATATGTTCTTTCTTTTTCTTCCTGCTGCTCAGAAAGCTTTGCCTAGCTGTGCACCTCATTATGCCCTTGTGGCTAGGCTGTTTTAAGGAAACTTATTCCAAAGGAAAAACAAAATCAGCAAGGTCTAACTACTGTACCTGTGTGATTGAGGAAGTAAAGGTTAAGTGCTAGCACAGGTACAGCTCAGCAGTCTGAAGATAACTGCCTTGCCATTTCTTTAAAGGCCACTATTGTCCTAGATCCAGGTAGGGCACTCAGGTTTTGTGTCACTCCGTTTGCACATGGAGCCACAGCCATTTCACTGAGAAAGCCAATTGAGATCTGAAGGGGGAAGAAGGGCTTTCAGGCATGATTTGAAGAAAGAAATAACAGACTGAAATGTGCTGGGGAAAGCTGGGAAACTGTTCCAGAGAGCAGGGCTGGACAAAGTGTGACACCTGAAAGCTTTTTTTGGTCTTACCCTGCTAATTCTGATTATGACAGCTTTTTATTTCCTGTTCAGCCTCCGTATTTAGCATTTAGTAATTGTGGAAATGGTGTTGAGCAGAAGAGGCAGAGATCAAAGAAGCAGTAAAGTGCAAAATAAAGAAAATAGGAAGAGCTACGTAGATTAAGTGGACTGGCACAGACTAACCCCTTCTGTCAGCAACTGGTTCTACAAATCTGAAGGTACTCAACATCTCAGCAGTGATTCCTGCCTGGGCACTGACTATACAGATCCATGTTACCAAACAGTACATTTGACTGACACAGGCTCTCTCTTGGGCTGGCCAAGCAATGCACAACCATATTCTTGCTTCTGCTAAAGTAAAGTCCTGCCCTGGCAAGCTGCCAGGGTGAAGGGCAGGTTTGCCTGCAGCTCAGTTTCTGGCCTTCCTGCCATGCCTCTCATCTCATATGATGCTGTGTGTTTTTAATAAAGGACTTTATAGTCCTTTATTGATAAGTACAGAATGAAATAGATTGGCTACCTGTTTGCATATCCACTGGATGAAATTTGAGAACTCACCAAAATTAGGTCTTCTGTGTAATCAGAAGCAGCCAACATGTTCTGCCATCATTTGAAAAACTTTGCTGAGGTGCAGTGTGATAACACACACTCCTTGCAATACACACTATCATGGCTTCTGCTCTTGTTTCAAAATACAAAGGTGCTTGCTAAGAATGAGGCTTCAACCCTCAAATTTTTAGAAATGGAACTGCACATTGGGTGGCTGACATATTGTCACAAATGAAACAAAAGAACTGGTGAGAACATTGTGGAGTTCTGGATGTAAGTAGAAACTGCTGTTTGTGTAAAACAGTCATTCATTCCTTTTTTCAGCACAAAAACAAGGTAAGCAGTGATTTTTTTCCATCCAGGAAGTTCAGAAGCTGGGAGAATCCCAGCCAGAATAGGCTGGCTCTCAAGGTCTTTAAGAGTCACTGTGTTTTTAATACAGAAGCTGCTGTGCCAGGTGTTTGAAGACATGCATAATAGCAAAGTATCTTCAGAAAAAGTGGTAACACGGGTCTGGATAATTGTTTATAATGGAGTTATATAATGGCAAAGAAAGTTGGTTAGCAGGAATTTTTAAATATAATTGATGGAATTACAAATGAACCTAGTAGGGACAGGGTTTTGCAATGCTTTTTATATCGGAAAACCATGCTTTTTTTCATTTCTTCAATATGTTTGGGATTGTCAGTAAAAAATGTATCAAAAGGAGGATTGCCTGATAATTTTATTAGACTTTCTGAAAGCTTTGGTAGCTTGCCGTGCTGATTGGGCAGACTGAGCTGCAGCCCCATCATCCTGTCCATGTGTCCTGGGTGAACACCACGGGCTGAGCTGCTCAGCACTTAGAAACACTCTTTCTTGAAAACAGGTAGCCAGTAGCCAAGAGGAGTGATTCATATGCATCCTCCTCCTTATTTAAACTGGAGTCTTCCCCTTCATGCTTTGCCCATTCCATGAAGCCAGACTGCTGTTTCTGGAGAGGGGAAAGCCAATTCCCCGCCTGTGCCTCTTCTATGTAGCCATCCACACTTCTTCCTAACTGCTACCTCAGCTACTTCTTAATAATAGAATCATAGAATAGTTTGGGTTGGAAGGCATATTTAAATGTTATCTTGTCTAATCCACAGTATCAAAATTCCCCTTCATCTTAAATTTGCTTGGAAGAAAAATTTGTCAGCCCACTCAAAGCCAGGACTGAAATACCTACAGGTAAGGAATTTTCTCACCATTTTCTGAGGAACCAATGGTGCACTCTATTTTTGACACTATCTCTTCCTTATGTTCACCTTCTGCTGGTGTTTCTTCTGCAGCTGGCTCCCTTGGACTGAACTTGGACCCCTGCTGGACAATGTCATGCAGGTATATATGAGATGTACAGTATGGCTGTTTGAGTGAAAGAAGGAAAGTACTGGAAATCATCTCAGAATAAATGGTCAGCTTTCAACCTGGCCAAAACTATAATTCTGTTGGAGGGCTAATATTTTCTAACATTTTTTAATTATATAAGAATGAGGATAAAAATAAGATTGAAAAATATGACATATTTGACTACTCAAGGTTATGGAATTTGAAAAATTGAAACTAAAATGCAGTTGTAAAACCAAACAGGATTGATTTATCCTGTAAGGCATATGGCTACACTGCTATTGCTTGTTAATGTAATCACTAACTCAGTTCTCTGAGCCACAAATCAAAACAACAATATTAGCTTATTTAATTGTACAGGGCTAATGTCAAAACTGTGCAAGTGGCAAAGATCCATTTTCCCCCCACAGCCTCTGTTTTCTTGCACCTTTTTTTTATCACATGGAGTAACTTGAAGTGGGCTGAGTTGTACTTTTGCCTACAGCCTATAGCAGGATAACAGAATAGCTGGGATTTTTATTTGCCCCAAACTGAGCTCTTTTAGATTTGTAATTTCCCTCCTCTATTTTCTGTCCCACCTCAGCATGTTCTAGGTGGTCAGAGCCAGAAACAGCAATCTAGAAAGAGCTGCCCAGAAGTACTCAGACTTGAGCCTGGGGAAGACCAAACCTGAAACACTGGGAAAAGTCTCTACAAGCTAAGCTTGAAAGAGGATATGGGGAGGTTTAAATTAAAACCCATTTGGGTTACCTTTAAATACATACCAAAACAAGTGAAAGAAAAAACCAAACCAGCAATCCAGCATATGTTCTGTAGGAGGTAAATCCTTCACACTTGTGTTTGCCCTGTCGGAAAGGGAGTCTTAATTGGATCCGGATCTGCCCAGTTCCAGGTGTCTTCTCTCTCAGGTCCCTAGAGCCATTTGTTTGTTTTTCTGGTGTGCCTCAGCTTGGCAAAGTATTTTGATTGCTAAGCAAATGTGGATTCAGCCAGCTCTGACCAGCTCTGGCATTTAAAAAAATCCTTTTTTCTTCCGCTTGAATTTCTCTGCCAGCTGCCTTCGAGTCAGGATTTCCCAGCCAGCAGCTCTTGTTATTATCTGTTTTCACTTGCCTTGATGTTTACCAGATTGGACTGCTTTTATCTCTATTAACCCTCCCTCACTGTGGAGCCCCAGTATTACACACCCTATGTGCCTTGGCCACTGGGTCAGAGCAGAAATAAGTAAATAGATAATAAAATCACCTTATTGAGAAAACAGTGAGGTCTAAAATATTGGCCAAAAATAACACAAGTGATGATGATCTCAGGGAAGAAAATAGCTAAAAGGCCAAATGAAGGTATTAAAAATCAAAGCTTAAAATAATTGACTTATTAGCTCATTAGACTAAATCTGAGCTCTGCTAAAATTCCCCACCAGATGAAAACTCTGGTATGAAAATAGTGCCGAACAGCTGAGAGCAGGACAAGCTGGCCTGATTTTTTCTGGTCTCAGAGTGAATTGTTGCTAAGTTCTTTAATTTGTAATCTTAGATACATCATACAGTCATTTAGACCAGAAGGTCTGATTAAAAATGCATCTAAAAATATAAAGGGGAAATTCTCAGTCTTTAAAGGGCCACAAAGCTGTTCTGAACAAGCACTTCCCATCTCTTCCAGTTCTTGAAAACATGGGGAGAAAATACAATATGGAAAAGATAAGCTCGTATTTTTTTTTTTAAATTCTGTTCTTCATCAAGACCAATATACTTTCAGAAGTAATAGAGCACATGCAGTTAAAAAGACCCGCAGGTCTGGTCACGTGACGGTGTTTAAGAACTATTTAAGGATCTCGGTGGCTTTTCAGTAAAAGGAGGAAAAAAATTTTCTAGTGGATTTCGGGATGAGGATCAGGGTCAGTTCGGCTTCTTCCTCAGTGTCCTGTGTTCAGCCTCTGGAACCGCCGTGGAGGAATCCATCCCTGCGATCCTAGCTTTGCCGCCCCCCGCCCAAGCTAAAGCTGCCTTCGACTTTTTGGTTCCCTTAAGGGCTGAAGATACACAAATAAGATAACTTTCCTCCTTCCCCATGATAATATTTTAATAATGAAGCCACGCAATTTGAACTTGTCGCTGCTTTATTTGGCTCACGCACTGCGCTCCATTTACCTGCGCAGCGAGAACACCCCGCAGGCTTCGCCGCCCGCGCTTGGCTCCCGGCGCGGCCCCGCGGACTCGGCCCGCGGCACCTGAGCGCGGCGGCTGCGCGGGGGGCGAGCGGGCGGGGCCGGCCCGGCCCGGCCCTCACATGCGCGGCGCCGCGGGAGCCATTGGCCGCCGCCCCGCCGGCCCCGCCGCCGCCGGCAGCCGGTGCTGTCCGCACGCCGAGCCATGCGGGTGCGCGCTGCAGGACGCTGCTAGCAGCCGAGCCCGCCCCGCCTCTGCCCGCCCGCATGGCAGCGCCGCGGGACTGACCGCCGCCGAGAAGCTCTGCGCCCCCGCCGCACGCACGGCTCGGCTCGGCTCGGCTCGGCTCGGCCGGGCGGCTCTCGGGGTCCGCAGCCCGCAGAGCCGTCCCTGAGGTGAGGCGTGCGCGGGGCCGGCGCGAGGCGGTCGAGCAGGCGGCGGAGGGGCCGCGGGGAGGGGGCGGCATCTTCACCGGCGCCCCCGCCGCTCCCTCCCCGCGCTTTGCCTCGCGCTTCTCTTTATCTTTCCTGCGTGCAGACCGGCCTGGGCCGGTTCGCGGTGCTGCTGCCAGCGCCGGTGCGCCGCGGCGGGACCCCGGGGGCGGCTGCGCTCGCCGCGCTGTTCTCCCGCGGGATGCGCATCCACGCGGGACGTGCCCGCATGAGCGGGGGGCCAGCGGCGAGAGCGGGGCTGGGAGGACGGCGTGGTGCTGGGGAATGCGGCTGGAACTGCCAGCCCCTTTCGAGGCCAGTGAGGTTGGATCTGGCCCCTCTGGGGGCCGCCAGCTGTGCGGCTTTTGTAAGGGGTCAGCTGTGCGTCGCAGATTAAAGCGGCCCAAGCCAGTCAATAAAGCACATCTTCAGGGCAGAACCGGCCCTTGTCAGATAATCATCTCTGTTTTTTCGAGGCGCGTCTCCTCCCGTCCCTTTGCTCCCCAATACGTGGCAATACCGACTCCTGCTCTTTTAGGATCCCTGAGCTTGGCACAGCAGCTCCTGTCTTGCAACCTGCATTTTCCCTCCGCTCCCCGTCACAAGTGCTGCCACTTCTCTTAAACAAATACGAATTCAGGCGCAGAAGGCTTGTGGCTTGCCCAGCATCCTTTAGGGGAGCTGATCTGCGGTCAGTGGGGGGATTCAGGCTCTGCGTTTTCAGCACGCCTGCAGCCCGTGGCACTTTCTCCTCTGGATGTTCCCAGTGTGTAAGAGCCATGAGATGGGGTACTCAGACTTGAAAATGGAGGACGGTAGTGGTGGTGGTGTTGTTTGGTGGATAAGTCTTAGCCGTACTTCCTGTAATGGTGGTGCTGAAAGTGATGTTTTACTTGACTTAGCTGCTGGTGGAGAGAGCACTTTAGGGTACCTACTACTCCTAAGCTTTGCCAGTTACGGCTTTAAAAAAAAAATCTCCAAACACAACAGGGAAGTATTTAATGTTTTTTTAGCATTATGTCTGTCACCATGATAGGAAAGGATAGTATTTTCTGCCTGTAAAACTGAAGGTGGAGTGTGACAATGCCCACTTGTTTGGGAGAGAGGGCTCTAGGATGGGAGAAATTTGCATGAACACGGGTGAAATTTTAAGCCCACTGCTCTGAGCGATGGAAAAAACCCTCTTGTGCCAGATGGGGTAG